TGTGATGAGATGGGAGGGCGTGAGGATGCCAGGATTTTGTGGGAGGGGCCCTTCTTTCGCTCCCTTCCCCTCCCCTCCCCCCCTCCCTGCCCTCCACCGCTTCCTCCTTCATGTATGTATCGTAATGAAGTGCCCCCTTCCTCTCAATTACTGGCGTCCTTCGCCCTCTTCTCGGACTTCCTCGTCCGCATACTCACCCAAAAAGATGTTCAAGCAGCTCCCGCATTGGTGGGTTCCCAAGTAGCGGACGATGTGCACGTGGGAGAGGGACCGTGTAAGGCCGATTTCTTGCACCACAGCGCCTGTGGATTCGGTAAGGGAGGAGAAGGAGAGGGAGGGAGGAATGAAGAGGCGCGAAGGAAGGGCGGCGGGGAACACTCCGACATCGCCGGCTGTCCGCGGACAGCAGGGAAAATAAGGGCCCTACCTGCCATCTCTCGGTCTACCCGTTTGTTGACTAGCACCTGCATGATAGCAAAGGATGGGGGGGGCAAAGAGACATAGAGGAGCGCAATAAGCGGGGCGATTTCCGTCTCAGAAGCGAAGCAAAGACTGCCGGGGGGTAGAGTGAATTTTCTTATGTTCATTTATGTCCTACCTGTTTGACCGCGACCAGCTCTCCTGATTTCGTCAGCCGGCCCAGATACACGGAGCCATGCGCACCTAGACAGAGCATACAGGCCAGGATGATGGCATTTACTTCGGTCAGGCGCTTTCACATGCTTCGAGGTTTCTGTTCGTCCGCTTTACTTACCTCGGCCGAGCAGGGAGAGTTTCCGCCAAAACCCACATGCACATGTACCATCCTTCCCACACTCCTCCACGCCCACCATGGCTGACAAGGGCGACAGAGAGTGTGGACAGTGTGCAGGCACCTCTCCTGTGAGGTTGACGTGAAGAATTCGTGAAAAATGGATGCCGATGAACAAGCATTCTGGTCTCGGACATTGAGAGCTCGCGCGAAACTTCACTTTCTCAGCAAGCAGCAAGACAGTAAGAACATGTGATGTCCATCACGCCTGGGGGCGAGCAGACCCGCCTCTACAAGCCCCTCATGGTATGTCGAAGCTTCACACGCAAGCACAAGCAGGTCCTTCACATCCGAGCGTCCAATGGGAATGGCCATGCTCGACATTACCCTTCGTCCTGAGTAAGCGAGGAGTAAGGAATGAATTTTTCGGGGGGGAGGCGGGAAGTGCAGCGGCACGCAAGCCACATCAGCGACTGATCCTGCTCCGGAAAAAGCGTGAACACGTCAAAAGCAAAGCAAGGGCCCGTCCCTCCTGTACCCAGGCACGACGCCCACAAAAATGGCCACGAGTGTCCCCTCCATGGCTTGCAGCCTGGCTAGACGCGCGACGTGCGCACGTGTGAGATATTAGTCTCGGAGTGATTTCGGAATGCTCGTGTGCCGAGGAGCCGAGAGCAGCCGAGACAGAAATGTTCGTCGTTCGGGCGGCGGGGGGGTGGAAATGGCCTGGAAAACGACCACTGGTGCACGTGGGACGCGTACAAGTGGGATTTTGTCCTCGTTTGGTGTTTGGGGTTGTGTGTGATCGTTGGTGTTGAGTGGGAAAGAAGGACCGTGACATTTGTGGCACAAGAAGGTGCGTCCTCACATGAAATTTCTTCCTTCGCTGGAAGTCTGTTGTTACACCACATGCATCCAAATCCAGCACCGCTTGCAAATAAATATCACTCGCAGAATATCCGTAAATTTTCGCTTTGCCCGAGTAAGTCGTGTGTGGGGTGTCACTATTTCGCAGCTGTCTTAATGGAGAGCTTCACGTTGACATTCCTCTGGTTGGTGAAACATGAAGTAAACACGCTCCGCATATCGTTATCGCTACCGAGATTCATTGTTTAGATGCGATACAAGCATCTGAGGTACATTAGAACATCTTCATAAAATACTCTAGGGGTGGCACGAAAAAAATTATGGGGAACACCGGGTATATTAAGATCTCCCACGGCAGGGATTGCCCAAGCACATCGAGCCGCTTGCACGTTTTAAATATATATTATGCCTCTCTTGGAAAGCCAAAATAAAATAAAATCTTTCGCTTATCACCCTGACGGCTTGAGTGTATTTAAATTGTGAAAGAAAAAGCAAGGGAGCAGAGAGCTACAATCACTACTCTTTAATTTCTTCGATATCGATATGGAAGACTTTTCCTCGTAAAAGAAAGATCCTTCGGGCATTGTCTTGTCATTTTGTTTTGACAAAGGCCCCGCTTGAGAAATGATTTAAACACATATTATCGTGGGTGGGCTTTTCCTTCATTACGAGCGACAAGACTCTCGCTGAGATCTGATGCTCTCCCCCCCTTGAGGCTTCTGAAAGAATCCCGTATATCGTTTAATTGTTTCTCAGAACTTTTCGGCATTGATATGCGGAAAAGGCAGAAGTTCCTTTTTGAAATTCGCTGGGAGGAAGTGTCGTGTCATTTTACAAGGTATGAAATTCGAAAATGGGCCATGTGAAGAGGCTGAAGTCTGTTTGTTTCTCTCTTTTACAAGTTCAGCACTTGATTGGAAACATCTACGAGTCAATGTGGCTCTTTTTTCTAAGGCTTTACTTAAGTTCGGTTAAATGTTGAGTCGATTAGGGGGGGATAGAGAACGTGAGCTGCAATTAAAGCTGGCAGGGAGCCTGGAAAGCGGAGATGTAATTTCAACTTATAAACTTGTCACATGTTAAAACCCAAACTTACAAGGGATAAAAATATACAATGTACATGTATCTGTTTTCCATTCCCACGTTGGGAACGATGCCTGGAATCCATTTGTATCCTCACTGTGGACGGCAATCCACATTTTACTCTCGACTGGTTGCTCCTGTGCCGGCGCTCGAGCGGATTCATGAGAAGTCAACTCACACACGCATGTCCTTCGCAGCGTTTTCACCTCTGGCCTCCCGCACAGCTTCACATCGCGTGTCCGCGTACCAGAAAGCATGAACGGGCGTATAGCGTCCCATCGACACATTACACTGCTCTTTTTGTTCCAAACAGGTGGCATAAATTTAAAAAAATACAGATAGGTTTTTCCCCCCCCTGTCCAGGACCCGAGAGCCTCTCGGGAGCGAGCGGGAGACGAAAAAAGAACCACGAAAAAGGTCAAGTTCCCGTAAATGCTTGTCAGTCCCGCCCCAGCAAAACCAGGCACGACGCGAATGTGTGCGTCTTTGGACGTGTTTAGACCTTTTTTCATGTCGACGACATGTGAAGTCACGCCTGCATTCGCGCCAAATGTTATTTTTTTCCGGGTCAAGAGTGTGGAGGGACCATATCCCGTTAGTATTAAAGCTCAACTCACAAGCGCCTCTATATTGCTTGGTGTTCTCCCTTTTACTTAACTTCCTTTTTTCTAATTTTCCCCCAAAACATTACTTACACGGACTGATAGCTGCTTGCTTCGCTTGGGGCGGCGTTGGGACGCGAATGGATGAAGCAGAGCTCAATTTAGGGGCAACACTATCGCCCTCGAGAGGTGCGTATGTGCCGTGCCGACCTTGAGGGAAACTGTATAGCTCTTGGACAAGGCGAAGCATGTCGTGAAACCTTGCACCCACAAACACCATTTTCGAATCTTTACACACATCACACACATATCTATACACACGAAAGATGAAAAAGAAGCTTTGTTGTTACTCCTGAGCCTCCCTTCGGTCGCAAACGTGCGGGTACCCGACGAGCGTGACAACACGAAAAGAAAACCAGGTCCACCACCACGCTACTTTCCCATCACGAGTTTCCCATCCACGGCGCACGTACCAAGCGGACGCCAGTGGTGAGTGTATGTGTAGTAAAAAGCGTACTTGGAGAGATCCAATTTTCGACCGGAAGGATGCGTTTCTCCATATTTCCGCCGGGGGGGGGAAACGCACACTCCGTGAAGGGGAGGGTAACAGCGAGAGTACGTAAATTCCTCATCAATTTTTCCATCCTCTTTCGCCATCAGTGGCATATATCCTTTCCTATCTCCTGCGAATAGATCCCCGACTTTTCCGGGCTCTAACGGAGGAGAGCCCAGCGATGAGTGCAGCATCAGCAGCCTAAGCAGCGGTGGTACAATTAACAGCATGGACGTGGACGTTTCCTGCGCCCTTCCCCAGAAAAATGGGTCGAAAAGGTGGATGTCACAATCGGTGTCCGCGGCGGTGTGGGATGATGAGGACGGAGGGGAGACCGACCAGGTGCCGATGACAAGTGAAGACGACGACGAGGAGGAGGAGGAGGAAGAAGAGGGGGAAGGATGGGGGGAGGAGGAGGAAGAGGTGGCAGGAGAAAAGAAGGAGACGTACTCAAGCCCTCTGAGATCCGGCCAAGTCGCCCAGAGGAGGGAGGGAACAGGAAGGGAAGACGCGGAGGGAGAAGTCTTACAAGCCGTGGGGGCTGGGGAGGAGGAGGAGGAGGAGGAGGAGGAGGAAGGGAGAGAGGACGAGGAGGTGGTGATGGTGAAGGCGGACGGATCGTTTCTACTCCTTTCCGACTCGCCCTGGACTCGCCAGAGCCGGAGAAGGGAGAGGGAGGGGACGGGTCTGCCTTCCTCTCCCTCCCTCCCTCCTTCCCTCCCTCACGGCCCTCCACGGGAGTGCGGGGGGCAACGGGTAGAGAGGCAAAAAGAAGATGGCTTACTGCCGAATGCATGCAAGAATGCTCTTTGTATGGACA